CAACATTTCTTTCAAATCATAAATCAATTGACTTTCTCGAGCTGCTCTTTCTTCATAGTTCAGCATCGCCAGCGCCCGCTGCTCCTCCACGCTGTAAACTTGGTTTTCCTTCCGCAGCCGAATCGCGTTCATGCGCCGGTGCCTGCAGCAAAACCCTAGACCCTAAACCCTAAACCCTAATCCCGAAACCCTAAGCCCTAAGGCCTAAACCGTAGAGCCTGAACCTGGAAGCTAGGCACTAGACGCTAAGGACTAATGAATTGCGTTCATGCAACGGTGCCTGCAACAAAACCCTAAACCCTAAACACAAAATCTTAAACCCTAAACCCTAAATCCTAAACCCTAAACCCTAGAGTCAACCCGCAAGCTGCACTCCTTCCCGTTGCGCTACATCGATTTCTTCGAATTGCATTAATTTGATTTTGATTATCTATTTTTTATTTTTGTTTTTACAATTAATTGTTATTTTTAACTTTCAAATCCTTTTCGCCAATTTCCAAAAGCTCACTTAGGGTCTCAATGCACTAGGGTTTCGAGCTAGGGTTTAGGGTTTAGCGCCGAGAGTTTAAAACTAGGATTTAGGGTTTCGGCTAAAGGTTTGAAGCTAGGGTTTAGGGTTTAGGGTTTGCCGCACCTGGAGCCGCTCATGACGTATCCCAAACTTTCGAAAGTCGAAATCTCTTCGGCCGTCAAACCAACCTAAAACGCAAACCCTAAACCCTAAACCCTAAACCCTAAACCCTAAACCCTCAACTGCGCAGGCGCAGCAAAACGCATAACCGCAGCTGCAACGACGCTGCAGCCTCGGGATCGGCCCCTGGACCCTAAACCTCAAACCCTTGAACTCTATACCCTAAACCCCAAACCCTAAACCCGAAACCCTAAACCCTTCCTCACTTCTCCTCTTCTCGGAATACGCTTTCCCTCCTGCACGAATTGGGCAATGGCTTCACCTTCGCCAGGCCGCAGCGCGAAACCGTAGCTGTACACAAACCCTAAACCCTAAACCCTAAACCCTAAATCCTGATTTTGAGGTCTACTTTAGCGCAGCTGCTGCAGCAGGCCCGCAGCACCAACCCGAGACTCCTTCCTAGGGTTTAGGCTCCACAGCTGCGGCTTCCCGCTTGTCACTTAGGGTTTAGGGTTTAGGAATTAGGGTTTAGGAATTAGGGTTTAGGGTTTACTCGACGTTTTTCTGCGCCAGTTTGTTCGTCACTTCCATCGGCTTCGGCCCCACCAATTCATCTTCAGAAGAACTTCCGTCTCCAGCCTCCTCCGCGTCTGAAAACCCAAACCCTAAACCCTAAACCCTAAACCCTAAACCCTAGAACCTCTATGTTCGCCCCAAACACTGGAGCCCACACGAGGACTGGGAAATAAAACTGCAGGGCAGTAACCCCAGCAGTTGTTCTCTTTATTTGCTGCTGCTGCCGCTGCTGCTACTGCTGCTGCAGCTGCTGCAGCTGCTGCTGCCGCTACTGCTGCTCCTACTGCTGCAGCAGCAGCAGCAGC